ATTTTTATAGTTTAATAATTTTTTCATGTTATCCCTTTAAATCAAAATATCTATCACGCAATTAAATTAATATAAGTAAAAGCATATTACAATTTTCGACAAAATTATGAAAACATGTATTAATATAATAGTCAATATAAATTTGGAATGAAAAGTATTATGAAAATATGAACCTAAGTAAATCTCTCCTATAGTATTATAATTGAGGCGCTGAACACAAAAGTGGCCTATTTGACTCAACCATCATTCCGAGTAAATTAAATTAGCTTTAATGATTTTACTAATTTTGTATCACTGAGAACAATTTTAATTTTTTTTTTTTTTTTGGTGGGGGTGGGAGGTTTTTGTTGAAATCCACTGTAGATTACATCATCGTTTTTGAAACCAAAAAAAAGTCAAAATTCCCTAAGTTAATGTTGGATAGGTCACTTTTGCATTTTTCTTATAATCACTTCATAATTATAAAATGTGGTTTAGATGAAATTTGTATAGAAGAATCAACCATGTCAAGTCAACTAAACTCTTTTAATCAACTTTTTAACAATTTTAAAATAACAATATAAGTATTTGAAATTCAGACTTACGAAATAAATAGGCCAGTGTTTCATTATAATAAAAACAAAAATGACTGGATGCAATAACAGAATAGTGCTGCTCTCTAGGAGAAAAAAAAGATAATAAATAGGCCGGTGTTGCTTTAATATTAATATTACACGATTTTGAAGAACTTGGTACAGTAAACAGTTACTTCAATTTTTCATTTTTTTGTGGTTTAGGCCACTTTTGCGCTCAGCGCCTCAATTACTACTTACTAGTTATACTGACTGCTGTGGAAAATAATAACTAAAATAAGTGTGATTATGAATATTTTTTTTAAACACACATATTAGAATAATATATTGTTACCTATCGACAATGTGTGTATTTATTATCTATCCAAATACTAAGTAATTTTCGTATTTCCTTATGGTATTAGGCATCGAAAAATAATGTTGATTTGATGCATTGTTAAAATAAAAGGTATTTTGTGGAAAGTTTAACGAAATGAAATGGAAATATTCAAATAAGTTGGTTAGCAAGTAAACTTTGAAACAACTTGATTAGTAGGTACTGTATTAGGTAGATACTTCGTAAGTATTACACTTACAACGTAGTATAAAGTACTATAAACAAATCAAAATTTAGCACAAAGAACTTTTTAATTTATTCTTGAGTAAAATATAATATCATACTTCGATCTCATTACAAAGAAAACCGTTTATCTTCAGGAAGTCTCGTTGTTCCGGAAAAATGTATAAGTATATACTTAAAAAAGGATAAAGTTAGCGACTCGAAAAAATTCCTATTTCCAAACCTGCGGAATTCAATTAACTTTCCGACCCTGGCCTAACGATAGCATATTATCTATGTTTTGATGTTTTATATATATATATTCTTAAAAGTTTATTTCCACTGCAGCGGCCATGCCCATAATTGCCTGCAGATTTCCGACTTTTCTTATCAGTCGTCGGACACCGACTCTGCAGTAGTCTGTAAGTACCTACCATACCACATGAATTTAATATTTTATTATCGATCTTTATAAATTACATTTTAAGCAAGCCACGACGGTTTTCGAATGAAGAAAATCTATTTATTTTTTTGTCATATAAGATGTAAGATTCGGTATAGGTTGTAGAGTATTTTGTCATATAGCCGCCGGAATACCTATAGGTTAATATTGTATCATAATAATTATTGTTATATCATTGTGGTCTTTAAAAAAATGGTAAATAGAGGATGCCACACCCACATTTGTTGTCACCGTCTTACAAGTGAGTAACATGACAAATTTACGAGTCCAGTGGCGTAAATTGGGTCCAATTTCTGGTAGTGCAGAGGCATATTCTTAACCTATAATTTCCAACACAAAAATAATCCAACTTTCTAAGTAAAATCCTTCCTAACAAAAAAAAACTATATATTTATCCATACATTTTGTCAACATTTGAACTTCAAATGCTTATAAAAAAAAATTGTGGCTATGTATTTTTAATATTTTTCAACGCTATTGTAACAATATATCAGGAGCCTTCCATTAAATTTTCACGCTTTTTACCAAACAAATAAAATTTTATTGATATTTATAGAAAAGAAAAACTAAAAAAATTAAAAAATGACAATGTCCGGAAACAGCTCAATAAGAGAGTTAAAATATTTTCAAAACTTTGTGGTGTATAGAAAATTAAAATATAAATATATAAATTTTCATGTATTTACAGTTATTTGTTTGAATAACAACAAATTAACAAAATCGCTACATGAGAATAATCTAGTGAAAATCCAATCTTGTAAAAATATGATTTTCAAATGCTCATAAAAATTTAATTTGATTTACTTGTGGACATTTTTTTTTTGATAAAGGCGTATACAAACTTATGAATAATCTTGTATTACATTTTAAAATCCTAAATTTGAAAAGAAACATTTTTATGATTTTTTCAACTCAAATTATATTGTTAATTATCGTGATTTTTCTGTATTTTGTAAAGATTTGAACTTTAAATGCTTATAAAAAAAACTGTGACCAAGGATTTTTAATAATTTTCTAATGTCATTGTAACAATATAGTTGGAGCCTTGTATTAAACTTCCAAGCTTTTTTACCCAACCAGTGAATATTTCAATTATATATGTATATGTTCATTTGTTTGGTCAAAAACCAAAATCGATTTTTTCGAAAACCGATTTCGGGTAAAAATTCCTGTTTTTCCTTAATTTTTATGTTGTTTTTCCTGGCGCTTATGAAACCTGTAGAGAATTTTAAAATTTGATTCAATACGACATCTAGCTGTCATCTGACATTTGACTTTTGAGAATTGAATGAACATTGATCCAGTGATAACACACTATTTTGGCGGTAGAATGTTGATAGCAATATAATTTTACCATATTATACCTACGTCTATTCTGTGCACGATTAAAGATATAATATCTTTAATCGTGATTCTGTGATGATACTGCCATTATAAAATACAAAATTCTGTGGATAGTGGTTACCATAGATAATAATCTAACTATTTATGGGGGTTGTACGATATTTTAGAATATAGACAGGGTAATAATTTAAATGATAATGTCTAATACATGCACGAAAATAACTATTTTGTACCTCTTTATATATTATATATTTCAATGATTTTCTGGTGGTACAAGTGCTGCATTTGCACCACCCAGTTTACGCCACTGTATTACGACAGGCAGTACACATCATTTAGCTTCGTTGGTTTAAAAATTTGAATGAATCGATATATTACGAGAGACTTAATGGTAAGAAGTAAGAACATTATCTGTGAATATTGTTTACGATAGTTCGATTTTTTAGCAAGTTTAGGGTACATAAAATATTGCAATTTTAAAATGTTCATAACTCCATTAAAAACTAAATTATTTTCGTAAGACATACGAACTTGGATAATAATCTATTACCGATAAATTTCGAACCACTCTAATTTATAGACTGGAACCACTGAGACAATCGATGAGGGTGTGGCGTCATCTTAATAATAATAATATTGTTACTGTTATCATTAAGATAGAAAATATTATATACATAATAATATAATACAATATATAAAATATTGTTACATTATCTATCTCAATTCTCAGTGTCTATAACCATTGAAAACTATAGTATTCATTATCAATGCTAAAACTTATAAATAATTGTCTACAAAGCGCAACGTAGTGCGCGCTCTCGTGGACGACGAGTAACGACTTTGCAGCGGGACAAAGACCGTCAGAGGGCGCCAACGAACTGTTACCTTCAACAATTCGCCGCCCCGCTCACTGTAAATATCAAGACACTAAGACCCCGTTCGTCGTCACTAGGGGTTGACAGGGTGAGCGCTTCTGTTGTTTTTTTTTAAACCTTTCTCAGTAGTTGCCTGGTACAGAATTTAATTTATTTACCAATGTTTACCTAACTCTACACTGCAAAGTGCCTATAATATTTGACATGTTTCGTATTACACTGCACGTTTATTAGTATCATCTTTATTATACAAACACGTCGTACACTTGAACGCCCAAATATTTTCACAAATTATAATTTCTTATTAATTTAAATAATTTATATCCTGCCATGAATTAGTAATAATTACTGATTATTCGTTGCACACTTTATAATTTCGTACTACGTTGTATTCTCGTACACAAGTCAAAAGTGCACTACAACTACTCATAATCCATTGACTATTTCTTATATCACATCTCACGGTGTTCCGCTCAAAAATAAGTCCTGTTGGACTTTTCACCGGGGCAAATGCCAGCACTCTGGTTTAGACATTGTTTTATTTTAAGCGGTCATGTGTATATAATTTATATAATTTTCGAAGTGGCCTGCAAGCTGTGATTCGTTCGGCGCGCTTTTAAAACCAATCGAAATGGCGCCCCCTCGTCGTCTTCGTCCAAACCACTGCAGTAACAATAAGACGACTGTAGTCCTTCAACCCCAATGTGATTTCGGTCAAACCGAAGATTTATCGGTATCGTGTAAAATATGCTCTCTGTACGACAGAATCAGAATGGATGCGAATTGTGCGCTCGCACAACGGGGTTGAAAGTATAATTTAATAATATTATACAGTAATATACTATATATACGCGACGATGGAGAGACGCAATTTAATGGACTGCGCGGGGAGTGGAATTAACACAGCAACGAACGACCGGCGTCGATGTCATTGCGATGTACATAATAATATATTATAGTCTATTGTATTCCGAAAAACGGCGGGGTGACCAAAGTTTTTTTTACTCCTTAAAGTTTTGTGATTAAAACAGACTAAACAGAGAGCAATGCGGATGTCGTTGTACGCGTTACTTTACTGTATATTATTGTGAATGTTGTCTGTTGACTGTTATACCTACGGTATGACCGCGAAATAAAAATGAGCACCCTGCTCGAATAAGCGTGTTATAATACGTAATAATCATCGACTAGGATAATATTATTATGTCATGATACAACTACGTGACGACTACGATAACGACGGCGACCTGTATAATATATACTCTGTTCCAAAAGAGAACGGTCACTTTTTGCGCAAACAACTGACGGCTGCGGCATTGCAAAGGCCAAAATTCTCCTCCCCCTTTCTAGCCAACAATCGTCAACGTCTTCGAGAAACGTCTGCTAGCAAGGTGGGGAATGTTGGGCCTTTGCACTGCTGTAGCCGTAAGTTGTATGCTCGAAAAGTGACCTTTCTCTTTTGGAACAGAGTATAGGTACCGATGAGACCGGATAACGACATACGGTGATTCCGGATAGATATATAATATTTTGGAGGTACCTATAGATTTTAATTTTGAAATATTATTATTACTACATTATAATTTTTTAACATCGAATAGCTATTATTAGGTTTTTTTGGAAATACCTGTTGTTTTTAATCTTGAACTCCAAATGTCAATGAACATAAAATGTAGGTACATTATATTATAAATTATAATCATTGAATATTGAAATACATGTATAAATAAAAATATATTTAACTCCAGTTCGCTCTCTTATTTGTGTATAGAAGATGTACACTAATTTTAATCATAAAATATTTATTAAATTAATTTTAATACCATACCTAATAATAAAAAAAATGTCGATATAATTATATAATATAATGTGTAAATAGCTAAAACTGTATATCTAGTAAATATATAAAATAAAGGTACTCGAACTTTAACTTGAGTTCTGTTTAGGTGACTTGATAATTATTTATTATACAACTATAAAAGATAAAAATTATTATCTAGATATTTCCCAACTTATTCTTTCAAATCGTCCGTCGTCTTAGAACCACGAGCTTTGAAAATAAATCGTTGAATTTGTTAAAATGATAACCACAGCTGGTATATAGGTAATGTAGATGTAATAATAATATAACCGTGTGTCACTGTTTGAATACCAAAAGTCGATAGGCACCGACGACAGGCTTATTATTGTATTACGTCAACATGACAACGTGGTTATGGCGTTATGTATATCTCGACGGGGTACCCACACCGCTCGATTTTATGTTGCAATTCCAAAGCTGAATTAGTATACATACGGACATACAGTATTCTGGTCATGGCTTTCAAATTTCGAATAAAAAACAAAATTATAATCAAATCGGGTTTTTGATAAATAAAGGTCCGAGTCATTTAAGTGGGATTCCCTGGAGCTTGCGGGAGTAGCATTAGTAATAATATACTTGTATATCATATATGTATATATAATTAGGTTCCTACACAGAATAGGCCACTCAAAACAATAATCACAACTACCACCACTCTAACAACACCTTGCCGTGAAACGAATAATTATTGTTCGCAAATCGCAATCATATATTAGTAACCGTCAATCGGGAAGTACCTACAATGTATTCACATGATGAATATTATTTATAATTTAGTACAATATTGTTTTTTGTTCACTCGGGGTTCGAGGGTTAGATTTTTTTTCCATTAAAATCATAACACATTCCTCCCGAATATGCATATAAGTTTAGGCTCTGCCACTCGCCATCTAACCTCACTAATGTTTTCTAACCAACAGTCGACTTTAAAGTGTTTATACGTACAGTTGAGATTTTTGAATAATTATATAGTAATAAAAAGAATAATATAGTGAATCCGTTTACCCACCGCCCTCCAAAATTATCCCGCCCGAGGCTGTGCATATAGACTAAACGGACTATGGACGGTATTACGACACTAATATTACTCCGATGGTGTGCCCCTATTATAATAATACATACCACGTTACATCATACTGAGCCTATAACGTGTGCTAGCGTTTATATATATATCTACTTTCTGTCGTGATACAACCCATGCTCAGAATTTTCCGGCTCCTGAATATTTGTTCCTCTCGACGTCTATATACTCTTCCAAATCGTACGAGTAATTATAAAATTCCGCGTGCACACCAGCGGCTAGGTACACCAGACAGCGTTATAACACAAAGAAAATTGTTTTGACCCTCGGCCCTTCAAATTCATCCCCCCCCCCCCCGCACACAACTCACCGCGATGAGGTAATTTTTTGTGCAGCCAGGTGCGACGCGTGCTCCGAGATAGGTATGAACTGCGAACGTCGTCGTGCAATGATATAAAATAATAATTGAAAGTTTATTGTTACATCGCTGAGGCGTAATAACCGGGTCGTGTGTATCGCGAGCCACGAATGACACCGGTACCGCCATATAATATTGTGTTATACATAGATACGTGACGAGAGTGTATAAAATAACAACGGGCAGTATGGCATAGTGTTATAATGGCACATAATAATATTATTATCTAGGCCGATTTGAGGACGAAATCATCGAGGCGAGCGCACTCTAAATAAATACAATTATTACACGTCCAACGAGTGAAAGACGACTATTAATAAGTAGGAACTATTATCGTCATTATTGTTGTACAGCGTTGTGCATGCAGTCCATCGGACAGATAGTAATTAAACGATAAATCACGGGCAGGTACTTTCCTCGCCCCCTCGATCGAAATCAGTGTCCGAGGAAATCATATTTTTACGCTGCCGGATCGATATTATTATGCTTTCCCGATACGAACGGTGTGCGGAAAAAAAAAAACTGCCTACACATAGTACCACTGAGTGTATCGCAGTAAGTTTCGACGGGCATCGGACGCCCCGTGCAAATTAATTGCTCGCCGTTCGAAAAAAAAATAATATATTTCATAAGAAAATTAATTTCAGAAGAAACGTCTCCCAATTATTTTTAGTACCTCCGCCTCGCCGTTGGTTTAATTACACGGTTCACAGGTTCAGTCTACTCGGCGGACCGGAAAGTGGCGAGTTTAAATATTGTTACACTCCGCACAAAATAATAATAATAATAAAAATAATATCAAACGGTCCTTATAATTGTATTTATTATTATTGTTATTTGTGCTCGAATAAGAAATTACAATAGTGGTTCAAAGTAGTAGTCGGGCAAATGGGCAAAATGCTTTACGTCGAAATCCGGTGGTTAGAATATTGTTATTATTATTTCATACCACATTCGGTTTCAAGTTTTTTTTTTTACATTGCTCATAAGTGTATAATGTGTTACGTAGTGTACCTAAACATCGTCTGCCAGCACGGCAACACAACACGCGTGTAACAATTTATTATGTACCATATAATAATAATTATTAATATTAATTATTCGTTAAACGCAAACCATATCGTCCGGGCAACGAACATAATATTATTATGCGCTGCAGCCACTAAACTATACACATTATGCGTCTTCAGCGTTTTCGGTAATTTTTCGTGACGCAAGTCACAACTGCCAAAATTCAGAAATTTAATTACAATTAAATGCTGATAATGAAATGTGGTGTTCGTTTTGAAACTATTGTTTCTCGATCGGGTTTAAAAGTTTCCGATCGGGAAATCTCTTCGAGATACGATGGTATAATAGCGTTTGCAATATGTCAATACAAATAAAAAGGATAAATTAAATCGATTCAGCGCGGTTTAATAAGATTCGTATTATCTTATTAAATCCTATTTAGAGTCGAAGAAACTGCAGCACTGATCGCAGGTTAAAAATCCAATGTAACGTCGTTTCATTTCCTGGGATAAATGTCAGATCTACACTGTGACCCTGTCGCTGATTCAGAGAAAACCTTATTTGTATTTTTCATCTTCCCGTTTTTATATTTTCAGCATACACACCACCACAAGCTGTAATCACTCGTTTTTCCCTCAGGACGTTGTAAATACGAAGGTAAAACGAACAATTGTCACACTACCAATAGCTGTCATTATAATTGGCATAATGCGCTTGGTAACGAAATGACACCCTCAGTTTTATACACGTAAATACTATAAATGGATAATTGTCTCGCAGGTGTTAACCATTTTTAACCGAGCTTTAAATATACTTGTCATATTATTATTGTTTATTCAAATGCGATAATATTATAGTAGCGTTCAAGTTCAAATTAATAACGATTGGCTCCATTATCCTGCACAGAGATGAGCGAGACGAGACGAGTCGCCTAAATATAATAGAGTAGATGTGATTTTTTTATTATTATATTCTGCAGTGCTGGTAATTTCTAATCGATATTGTCCGGAGCCATTTCATAATTTAATATAAAGAACGCCAAATACACCAACACGCACGTACCTACAAGCTTGGGATGACTAACCCAAGGAAATTGAACATTTTATACTGTAGATGCAGTAGACGGCCATGTTTATATGAATTCTTTTCAATAAAGATATCGTTAAAAATAAATCAAATTTATTATCAAAAATTATATTTTCATAGATTTTGTTTCTTTAGTGTGTTAATTAAAAAAAGAAAATTATCCAATAAACAAATTGCCATAAACCAAATCTGGGAAAACGTTAGGTTCTCATTATTTTATAACCAATATTTATCATGCGGTTTTAAATTTCATAAAATAGAGAAAGATAAATATTGTTTATAATATAGCCTTTCGAGTGAAATATGAATATTGGCATATTTTATACTAAGAAGTTTTGATACCAAATACTTTAAAACTTTTAAATTAAAGAATTAAACTTTATTAATTGTTTATCTATAATAATAATAATACAGATTATAATAATATAAGTTGACTACCTATACGATATGTATATATCTTATATAGGTACACATAAACTAATAATCATATATTTATTTTTACCAAAACCCCTAAATTTAAGTACCAATACGCTGTCTAAAGGAGTTGAGTCGTCTCCGTTGCTTAATAAACATATTATTCCATAGAGATATCCGATACCGTGACAAGACTAAATATTTTAGTTGGCGCCTGTTACTATACATACATCAAATAATGCATGTCAGCCACACACGAGCTGTTTACGATATCAAACATGTTATACGTTTATAATATTATGCTGTATGTTGTGCAGAATATAATACACATTATTATACAGTCGTACTCACTCGGGGTATTGTAAAATAAAATGAAAAATATACTTAAAGAATCAATAAATAAAACTATTATATAACATGCGTCTTAAATCTTAATTATATAGGTGCATGCAATTTAATCAAAAATATAAAAGTATAGCTGGACGTGATGTTTGCTTACTTGAGCGAAGTACGGCGGTAGAACACATCTCTGGTCATCCAATCGGTTGCTCTGAACTCTTTCGAGTAATTCGAACAAATCTTGAGTCGCACACTGAAACACATCAAAATCGATTTGCTTAATACATTTCATTATTTTCTCCAATAAACAACATGAATACCA